CGGGATGCTGCGCGTTTGGAGGCCCTCTGGGGAGGAAGTGGCGAGTTTTCCCATCTCAAGTTCTCGGGACGTGTCTGAGCTGAAGAAGCATTTGCACATGCTTCTTGGGGTGCCAAGATTCCAGCAACGAATCTTGGATGGAGGTGCGGTCTTGGATGACGATACTCAACTGGCTTCGATTGCAGATGTGCAGCTGGTACTGCTTCCTTTCTGCCAATCCTCGGCGGAGGATGCAAATCTCTTCATAGAAGCTGTGGATCGCAACCATGGTCGTACCGTCTTCGACATGCTGCGAAGGTGCCACAATCCAAACATGACCGCCGCGCGCTTCCGCTACGACGACCTGTCACCCATCCATGCTGCTGCGAAAGCAGGGCACCCAAGCATGGTGAGTTTATTATTGGAGGCTGGTGCGCATGCCGACGACCAACGGGCTCTTTTTTGTTCTGCTAGAGCTGGCGACACCCGTGTACTGCGCTTGTTGTTCCTTGGGGACCAAAAGACATATGAAGGGGGCCCTGTACCCTTGTTCTATGAATCCCTATATGATCTATTATATAATATCATATGAACCTTAAGCCCTTTTAGCATATACTCTGAAGCCCTAAACCCTTAACCCTAAAGTATATGAACCTTGAGCCCTTTCAGGGCTCCTTTCCTTGAGGTTGGAGGCCCGTGGCGACGCGAGCCGCGCTCTTCATGTCGCCTCCAGAATAGACGACCTACAAGTTGTCCATATGTTGCTTAGGAGCCCAGTGGGTATTTTTAAACGTTTTTGGTATACTGAACTCCTACTAAAAGAAAAATTTAAACTTTTTGGGGCCAGGGTACTGGGCAGCTAAGGTTGTTGTACAGGCATTGCGACAAAATAACAACTCAGGCTTATCGTGCAAGCCTGGTAGCTGCATCGACCTGCCATAATGCTAAAATCTTGTGGAGGCTGCTGAGGGTTGAGAAGCTCGGCTTCTTTGACTGGGGCTGGGCACTGGCTGTGCTGGCTTCTCTGGCGGGTACATGGAAGCGCCTTCGTCGCTCTGCCATTTTTGCGGCTGTGTTCGGTTTGTCGTGCCTTGCGTCCCGTAAATCTCCGGGTGAAGGAGATGGCGTCACAGACTGGGTTCTGACATTCTGCCTCCTTGTGAGTCTTACCACTTTGGTGGTTTGGGCCATTCCCCTCAAGATCCTGCTTTTGCTGCTGTGGGGCCAGACAGGCCAGAAGGTAGTCTTGCGCAACTTCAGCTATCGCTGGAGACGTCGCGTGGAGTTAACCACCGTTCGCCTTTTTCTGTGGGACTTTCTGTGTCGACGAGGCAGGCTAGGTAGGCGGAGTCGATTTCCTGTGAACATTCCTATAGAACTGAGGCCTGTGGTTTGAGGGTAATGGCCTCCTCTCGATGTTGCTGGGTGAAAGGCCGGGAAGCATCGTTACACATTCAGCGGGCAAGCCTGTTCGACAAAAAAGTGCGTGCTGAACTGTCCCATGCCAACAGACAAAGGCAGGAATTGACATCCTATGCAGTTAGGGGCTGTGGAGTCGCCGTCTGCACTTTCACCATGAAAGATCACCATCACCGTCATCGTCATCATCATTAGTTTACATTCATTGCTCGTTTCATCGTCAAGATGTTGAAGTCATCCTAAGCCCTGTCATCCTCCATCGCCCACCTCGGCATCAAAGATTCGGAGCAACCTGCAGTATTGCGATATATCACTCCCCCCTAAACCCCAAACTCCACCGTGTCGCCAGCTAACGATTGACAACCATCTCTTCTCGGCCTCGCACGACCGCACGGTCCCGGCTCCAAGAGCAGAAAGGGCACAACCCGAAGCCCCGAAGCCTTAAGTTTAGGGTTTAGGAGGGCTTAGGGCTTAGGGTCTATAGGGTTTAGGGCTTAGGGTCTTTGGGGTTTAGGCTGTAGGGTTTCGGGTTTATAGGGTTAGGGTTTAGGGTCCATAGGGTTTAGGGCTTAGGGTTTAGGATCTTTAGGGTTTAGGGTCTATAGGGTTTAGGGTTTAAAAGGGTTTAGGGCTTAGGGTCTATAGGGTCTATAGGGTTTAGGGTTTAGGGCTACAGGGAATCATGTTGGCAATACGGTTGATGATATAGATACTGCACTAACTAACAAGGAGTATACCATAATTCCCAGAGTTTAGGGTCCTTGTGGTAATGCAGGGTTTATATCATCAACAGTAACCCCTAATTATACTATACTCTGTTCTAGTCTATCATATACTACGTTCTATTACATTGTAAAATATCTTCTAGTGCATTGTGTCATATCATGTTATATGGCATCCTTTGGCATATTTCGCTATATTCTGTCCTTAACGCCACAAGCCCCAACCCTAAGCCCTAAACCCTAGCCCCCAGAAGCCCTAAACCCGAAGCCCTAAAGGCCTTAAGCCCCAAACCCTAAGAAGGTGTCTTGTTTTGCTGTTCACGTCTAGAGTTTTTACAATGTCGGTCGTAGGGTCTCCAGGTTTAGGGCTTAGGGGGTTTAGGGGGGTGAAGGGGTTTAGGGTTTAGGATTTTTAGGGTGTTTAGGGCTTAGGGTTTAGGCTGTGTTTAGGGTTTCGGGGGCTTTAGGGGGCTTTAGGGGGGTTTTAGGGTTTAGGGTGTGTTAAGGGGTTAGGGATCTCGGGGACATCAGATTTTTCGAGCTGAGGGCCGTCTGTTCTATCACTCCGCGTTGCATCCTTGTCCTTAAGGCTGAGATACGGTTGATGATATAAATCCTGCACTACCCATAATAAGGAATATGCCATACTTCTCATGGTTTAGGGTCCTTAAGGTAATGCAGGATGCATAGCATCAACAGTATGTATTCGAAAGCAGGTGACATATGTATTCTAAAGCAGGTTCAGGGTTCGAGTGCAGTTTCTCGCTTCACATTGTTGGTGAAGGATCATAGCGTCACATTTTCCGTTGTTGTTCCCTACAAACCATGGTTTCATATATCATTACATAAACCCAGAGGTTGTATTGTCGAGCCAGCCTGTTTTGTTGTGGGTCTAAGGAGGTTGTAGGCGAGACCCCGACCGGCGAGCGCAGAAACAGCAGAATTTCTGGGACTTCCAGGAAACAGATGCCCAAAGTAGCCGAACAGAGCCCCAGACCCTGGACCCTACACCCACAATCCAAAATCCCAAATCCCCAAACCCTAACCCAAAATCTCAATCCCTAAACCCTTCAAGCCTCCTCGGCCTTAATAATTAGCACAGGGTTTTGGGAGCCACTATACTACATTATTGAGAAGGAACCCCCAAAATAGTATTGGTATTTGTTTAGGCCCCTACATTAGCGTTTGTCTATCGCTTGTATTGCCAGCAGTGTCTAGCTATCGAACTCTTCGCCTGCCTAGCTATCTGTCTATCTATCTACCTATTTATCTATCTATCTACCAATCTGTCTACCCACCTACCTATCTATCTGTCTAGTTGTGTTGAAGCTTGCGCTTGCATGTCTGCGTGCAACGCTTCCAGGCACAGGATCTGCAGCATCTGCAGCCATCCTTTTCTCGGCTCTCCCTCGATCCGCCTCTGCCGACTGCCGGGGTTGAGGGCCAAAAACTGGAGCCCACAAGTATGTTAAATAATAGCCTTTCGTGGATCTTGGGGCATTTTTGTTTTACCTATTTGTGGGGGTTTCGGTAGGCCTTTTCAGGATTGTGTGTTCTTGCCGGAGCCGATCCCGTCGGGATGCTGCGCGTTTGGAGGCCCTCTGGGGAGGAAGTGGCGAGTTTTCCCATCTCAAGTTTTCGGGACGTGTATGAACTGAAGCGGCGTTTGCACATGCTTCTGGGGGTGCCAAGAATCCGGCAACGAATCTTGGATGGAGGTGCGGTCTTGGATGACGATACTCAACTGGCTTCGATTGCAGATGTGCAGCTGGTACTGCTTCCTTTATGCCAATCTTCTGCGGAGGATGCAGAACTCTTCATACAAGCTGTGTTTCGCGACCATCGTCGTACCGTCTTCGACATGCTGCGAAGGTGCCACAATCCAAACATGACCGCGCGCTTCCGCAACGAGCACCTGTCACCCATCCATGCTGCTGCGAAAGCAGGGCACCCAAGCATGGTGAGTTTATTATTGGAGGCTGGGGCGCAGGACATATCCGATACAGGCGACCAGTTGGCTCTTGCTGATTCTGCTTCACGTGGCACCACCCGTGTACTGCGCTTGTTGTTCCTTGGGGACCAAATCACCCTTATATGTAGGGGGCCCCGCACCCTTGTACTATGAATCCCTATATGACCTAGTATATATGAACCTTATAAGCCTTAAGCCCTTTTAGCATATAATTACTCTGAGCCCCAAACCCAAAGCACTACAGAATATGAACCTTAAGCCCTTTCAGGGCTCCTTTCCTTGAGGTTGGAGGCTGGTGGCGATGCGGGCCGCGCTCTTCATGTCGCCTCCGGAGCGGGTCAGCTACAAGTTGTCGATATGTTGTTGGAGAAGCATTGCGACAAAATAACAACTCAGGCTCATCGTGCAAGCCTGGTAGCTGCATCGACCGTCCATGATGCTAAAATCTTGTGGAGGCTGCTGGAGGTTGATAGGCTCGGCTTCTTTGACTGGGGCTGGGCACTGGCTGTGCTGGCTTCTCTGGCGGGTACATGGAAGCTCCTTCTTCGCTCTGCCATTTCTGCAGCTGTGGTCGCTTTGGCGTGCCTTGGGTCCCGTATATCTCCGGGTGAAGGAGATGGCGTCACAGACTGGGTTCTGTCATACTGCCGCCTTGTGGGTCTTACCACTTTGGTGGTTTGGGCCATTCCCCTCAAGATCCTGCTTTTGCTGCTGTGGGGCCAGACAGCCCAGAAGGTAATCGTGCGAAACTTCAGCTATCGCTGCAGACGTCGGGTGGAGTTAGTCACCGTTCGCCTTTTTCTGTGTGGGCCAGTCTCGCGGAGTCGATTTCCTTAGAACATTCCTGTAGAACACCTAGAGTCTCCATTGTAGTTCCTTTTTGGGTTACCTTTTGGGATCCTCAATATAGAATGAGTTAAACCAAAAAAAGGAACTACAATGGAGACTCTAGGCAGAGAGGCCTTGGGTTTGAGGGTAATGGCCTCCTCTCGATGTTGCTGGGTGAAAGGCCGGGAAGCATCGTTACACATTGAGCGACAAAAAAGTGCGTGCTGAACTGTCCCATGCCAACAGACAAAGGCACGCTTTAATGAGCCTAAGCAGGAGCAACAGAGGAGCCGTGTCTTGAATTCGGTGGTTTAGGGTCTTGGGTTCCGCGGGTTCGATGTCGGAGTTGCTAGCTGTTGCTGATCGGTGGCAGGCAGGAGGTATCTACCCAGTAGTAGAGCAGGGAACCTTGAACCTTGGTGGGGTACTACTCTTCTTGTATGTGCACAAAGATTAACCATTAGCTCTCCTACTGTTGTTGATATACATCCTGCGTACCCATAATAAGGACTATGCCAGAATTCCATTGTTTAGGGCCCTTAAGGTAATAATGCAGGGTTTATATTATCAACAGTAGGACTGAAGGTTGCACAACGGCTTGATGAGAGCATTGCTTTGCAACAAGGGGGTCGGGAATGGCGGCAGAAATTGATGAACCCTAGCTGTATGGACAAGACTAAACCCGACACCCTAAACCCTAAACCCTAAACCCTACACCCTAAACCCTAAACCCTGAATCCTAAACCCTGAAGCCTAAACCTTAATCAATCGCTGACCTGAGACTTAATCCCCTATTTTTCCCCTTATCGGATCCCTTATACTTAGAGGATCATGGGACTTAGTAATTAGGGTTATAAATAAGGTAACTATAGTTATTTTTAAGTATAACTCCAATTAAGGTACTTATAACCTTACTTACTAAGTCCCATGATCCTCCAAGTAGGGACCCTATAGTTCCTTTAAAGGGACCCCCGCCTTGAACCTTCGTGAGGTGAGGTGCGAAGGTGCTGATGGCTCGGGCTGTGCATCTGAATCGGGATCCAAGCCAGGGTCGGCAAAAGGGGCTTGAATGACTAATATCATCATTCCTGCAAACCTTAAACCCTAAACCCTTATCGAGTTCCCATGATATAGTCATATACTAACATTGCTCCTCAGAGTCTCAACAGCCATGGTTTGACCCTAAACCCTCAACCCCAAACCGCCCCAGCACCTTTCTAAGTCGAAAGGTTCAAGTTTTACCATCTCCTGCGCCTTGCTTAAAGGAAGGGAAGTGGGATTCAAACGTCACAAAGCCGCCTCGCTGTCAAGCGGCGAGAGGTCTCGTAACGGCTTTGGGTGGTTTTAGGGGTTTTTAGGCTCTTGGGGTTTGGGGGGTTTAGGCTTTAGGAATTTAGGGCTTTGGGGGCTTAGGGTTTAAGGTTTAGGGTTTAGGGGATTTTAGGGGCCCTGAAATGGCTGGATCCCAGATTGGAGGGTTGTTTGCTTATTGATCGTTGTGCCAATGTCGTGGCCAGATCGCGATGTCCCAGAAGCCAAGTCGCGGAATTGCCGCATCACAGACGGCGTCTGAGTAGCCAAGAAGCTAGAGGGTTCTATCAATTCTATGATAGGTGAAGTATCAAAAGCCCAAGCTCCATAGCCCAAAACCTTAACCTCTAATCTATCATAGGGGTCCCCTTTAAGGGTACTATAGGATTCTATCATAGGGTCCTCTTCCGGGGTTCTTTTCTGGTCAGGCTTCCCTGTGCAAGTTCCGCAAGTATTCAAGTTGCTCCAGTACCTCAAATACCTGTACCCATAGGCCCCTAAGTAGTTCCTTTGTGGGATTACCTTATAGGATTCTAAATATGAACCATAAAAATGAACTACTTAGGGCCCATGGGTAACCGCAGCATCTCAAAGCACTTAAAGGCAAGAAGCGTGTCAGTAAGAAGCAGCAGAAGCAAGTCAAGATGGACCAGAGACCACCGTCAGCAACCAACAGGGCGGAAATCGAGACTCATTGCCCGGCCTCAGACACGCTTAGTGCCCTGATCATGCGATGCGGTAACCTTTTGACTCTTGTCCTCTGAATAACCGGGCAAAGGTCTGTTTCCCAAACCCTCAAACTATAAACCTCATAAAACACAATTACCGCTCAAAGCCTCTGCCATAGAGCTTCAACCTCTACAATCCTGTAACTCCGCAAAAACGTATTGCCGCTTAACCCTCGCCCTGTTGCCCAAACCCTATGACATGATTTATGAAGCCCCGCTCACCCGAGGGACCCGTAAAGCCGTAAAGCCCCGAAAACCTCAACCCATGTTCTTTGTTGTTTGTGGGGATTCGGTTCGGGTTTAGGGTTCACGGCACTTCTGGGTTTTTAGGGGTCGGTCAAGCGTTTGAACTTCAGTTCTGTGAACGGAAACTCGGCTTCCAGGGCCGCGCATCGGGCCGTTTGCCAACGAATAGTGGACCGTAAAGTGGGGTTCTCCGAAAACTTGCATCATGCGATAGCACCTTTCGGAAAGATTTGGTCATGATTGATGGAGCAGACGTGTTTCAAGTATTTTACGGACGGGCATGAACAACAGACAGACCCAAACCCAAAGCCCTAGGCACGATGGCACTAAATGCCACATACCCTTTTTTTTGAGCCCTAAAAACCGTAGCTTGAAATATTATGTGGGTTGAGACCCCTGGAGGGGTACTTTGCCTAAACGAATGGATCGGTGGATGTATGATGTATGTATGTCTGTATGTCTGTACACTATACTGAACATAACTAAAAAGATGCAGAAGTTCAGTACTTTTTATTCATGCATGTACTTATATATTCATGTTGTATGTATGTGTCTTAGTAGCTGAATGAGTACACTTTAAACTTTTTGGGATAATATAGCTACTTATGAAGCTGAAAGTGTACACTTTTTTTGGCTTATGAACTCAGCAACTAAGGTGTAAGTGTGCATATTCATACGCATGCATCCAGGTTCTCTGCAATTCTGCATCAGGAGAACCCACACCGTTGCAGTCCATGATGTAACACAAAAGCCGCTGCCAGATTCATGCGTCCAGGTGTCCACGGCATTCTTCGGATCGTTTCCTTCGTTTTCTGAGCCGATCTTGCGGTTATGTCATGTGATACTTTAGATGTTTGTGGTTTGAGGGATTAGCGTTTGGGGTTCGGGATGTCTTCTCCGATTGCCATGATTTTGGTAGGCATCGTGCACTGAGGTTGACACCTACAGCGACATACGACCGTTTGCTCGAAAATACCGGGTGGCCCACCAAGGATGTGCACTTTGCCTTTTGCTCGCTGCAGCCAGGATCAGCTCAGCAACTCCCGGTAAGACATGTGATGCCTCCGTATACAGAGCCCCACCTCACTCCACAAGGTTGCGCAAAGATGTCGATATCTGTACATTTCACTTGAGTTGAATGCTGCAGTTTCATAGCACATTGGCTGGAAACTCAATCCCCCATTGATCGAAGAACCCGCTTTTGTGCCGCACTGCGCAGCAATGGCATGGTGGGAAGACGTGGATGCCGAATCGTTGGAGGAGGCAGTGCAAAGAGATTGGGATGTATGCTGGGCCCTAAACCTTTCAAACCTTAAACCCACAAAATTAGTTCCTGATGTAGCTCTGCACAACTCTCATGGCTGCAAAATGCAGCACCTGGAATTTGGCAGAAACCTGTGTAATTGTGGGAGCAACTTGTGTTGTGCTGCTAGCCTACACCCCGCCTTTGCTTGGCAGTAGAACTTAGACCTCAAAACCTTAAACAGCAACAACAAGTTCACGCTTAGATTCTTAGATAAGCCTAAACCCTACTAACCCTAAACCCTACACCCTAAAATAGTGCAAATCCTGAACCTTGGCCAGGCCTTGGCGACGAGCGAGGATGAGGATCGCATTACGAGAACCTACGAACGGCTACTATCATAATATAGCAGCCTTACGCTAACAAATAGTGGGCTATAAGGATTCCTTTTCTGGGCTGTGTAAGGGATCTGGAAGGGATCCGGGTTTTTTTTTGGGTTTCGGAGTCGGAGTAATTAACCATAGCATTCCCTCATCGTCCCTTGTTAATTCGAAAAGAGATCGCTCGTGTTTTGGTCGAAATCCGCGGCTTCAACCAGTATTGCTCTCGACCTATCTCCAATACCCTGAGCCTTAATTCCTAAACCCTGTAGACCCCGAAACCCGAAACCCTAAAACCCCACAATTTAGCCCTAAACCGAGGGAATAGGTTGAAAGCCAGAAAGGTCTTGATGTTTTGGGTACAACCCTCGCACTACTCAGAAGGATTTATACTATCATATAATAAAGGTTGAGGGTTTAAGGTTCTTATTATGCTATACGAAAATGCCGTATCCCCTGTTCGTCCCACACGAGTAAGTATAGTGTATCAATATACCCCAGACCCTAACTATAGTCAACTAGCTTAAGGATGAAATGACAAGTAGGGTCCCCAGATCTTATGCGTTGAATCCTTATAGTATGGCAATGGAACCTCGATTGTCGTGTGTTGCATGCCGTCCTTAAGGTATATACACCGAAATTATTCTAATTTTTGAGGCCCTCATATATTGGCTATCTTCCTTCCTCCCAACAAAGGATTGAACAGTATGTGTCACAGTTCAGGAAATTTGATCCAAAATCCTGACGAGCCCAACATCCAAACCCCTGAAATGCTGATACGGTATGTGAGGGCGGACTCTCAGTACACCTCATGTTAACAACGTAAGAGCTGGCTTTGTGCTGACAAGGAGCTGATGAGCACCAGCCGAAGGCACATCGATTATTTCTTTGATTATTTCTTTCGGGGGTCTTATGAGGTTGTTACCTGTTCGCCGCCGGTTTGTCACGCTGATCCCTGCGATGCTAAGGCTGCTGCGCATTAACCACCAGGACCGCGACTTGTGGCGAACCACTAAGCCCTAAACCCTGAACCCCCAAAGCCGGTGGCCTTTATCCTCATGAATGCACGTTGCTTCATCTCTTCCCTCACCTGTAGCGCTG